AAATGGTTCGTCATTTCCGGCTTATGGGCCGAACATATCATCGAACGCCACTTGTTTGAAAATTGTTTCGGCGTAACCCTTGATCTCTTCAGCGAACGTAGCTGAGATCGATGGCCTGAGCGCTTCCATGATGGCTTTGTCGTTATCGTTCACAACTCGGGTTAGGATTTCCACTGTAATCACGTGATAAAACAAATGAATCGATCCATTTTGGCTACCCTTGAAAAAGAAGTGCATGATCCAAGCGGGAGCGGGTTTTGCTTTACCTTGCGTGGCTTTTGCTTCGTTGATGAACTTGAAGTGAGTCTTTTCAGGAACCATGTCAAAGTCGACGGAGTCGACGACGAAACGATTTCTCTGGTCATCACCCACCACTTGATGGCCGCGCATAGTCATCTTCATAGAAGGATTGTCTGAAAGATAAGGGATCAGGAAAAGCACGCATCATGTCGACATAAACACAAATTCTCTCGCCACTCACCCATTCTGACGATGCCCATGCCATTGCCGTTGACGGGGATGAGGATGATTCTCCCCCTCACGTCGTACGGACCGCGCAGCTGCAGGCTGTCAGTGCGAAGGTCGGCGACAATCTCCCCCCGCGCCAGGTCCGCCCTGCGACACCACAGCACAGCATAGGTTCATTGCAAGCCAACTACTCCTGCGCGGCTGTATGAAGTCTATAGCGCCCCACCTCACGTCCTGCACGACGGTGCCACGCAGACCATCCACCTCCGCGTCGTGGAAGGTCATCTCCAGGACGAACGGGCCCTCGCCCTGCGACAGGTGCACGCTCTGCACCTTGAGCGGGTCCAGCGGGCGCGTCCCCAGCTGCGCGTTGCCTCCGCTCAGGTCCGCGATGGCGCGCTGCATCGCACCCTGCAGGCACTGGTTGAGCTGTGGGCTGGAGCGGCTGCACGTCCCCCACGCCGAGGCTAAAAAGAGCGCGGTACGGGTATGCTCGAGGGGGCCTTGAACGATATCCAGTTAGCATTTTTCACGGCGATTCCGCACTATGCACGGCGCGGAGGCGATGCATGCATCGTGCACGCACGATGCACGGTGCACGTTGCACGATGCTCGCGCATGATGCATGCATGATCGTTCATCCGTGAATGCACGATAATTTCTGTCAGGGCCGGTAGGGGGGGGGGGTAATTTTCATTTCACTTGTGGTTGGTACGACCTACGACTCCCGAGTCGACTCAACTTATTCGCACCGTGCTCTAACGAAAATAGGTAAAGAGCCATAGAGGAGGGAAGGAGAACAAAAGGAAGATGAAACCCGGCAGCCGAAAAGTAGTCGGAGAAATTGTAGTCCACGGTTTGGGCCGAAGTGTGCTTGTGTGCAGCTAGCTACAATGGAGGATTCTTGTTGACACGGTAATGTGTTCCGTTAGGGAGTCGTAGGTCGTACTAACCACACGTGAAATGAAAATTAACCCCCCCCCCCTCCCCGGCCCTGACAGAAATGATCGTGCATGCACGGATGAACGATGCATGCATCGATGTACGATGCACGATCATGCATGCATCATGCGCGAGCATCGTGCATCGTGCACGATGCATGCATCGCCTCCGCGCCGTGCATAGTGCGGAATCACCGTGAAAAATGCTAACTGGATATGTTCCTTAACTCAGGTAGGTGGCAGTAACGTTTTGTGATTTTTTTGTGTGACTTATTGTGACTTGTAAGTCTACTGACTTTTTGTGGCTAAGCAGACTTCCGGTTGTCCTTGAGAATACGCGGCAGCTCGATGGGTTGCCTACGCACTAGCGTGCAGGCGCGAAGGTCGAGGAGTAACGGTGGAGGTAGTAGGAGGCAATCGGCCGCCTCCCACCACCTCTTCTGCCCCCCCCCCCTGCACGCCAGTGTACACAATTATTGTACACAGTTATGCATAAAAATTGCGCATACTTATGGCTGTATAAAA